CTCATTTCTATCACTCCACCAGTAGGTTAAAGTTGAAAGGTAGGCGAAATAAAGTTTAAAAATAGAAAAGTTATGAAGACTGGCAAAAATAAAATCCTTCTAAACAGGCATTTGAGGCCATGTTCTATGATTTGTTACTGATAGGTATCATCGTGTTATTTGATGATAGGCAGACCAGTAAAATTAAATTTGTGAAGAGGTTGATGCGATCTCATTCCAGAAGCCTGTATTTATCTTCCTAGAACGGCAAAACCAACTCTAATTAGTTTCATATTTCACTTCTTCATTCTTCGTAAACAATACCTGCGTCACAGATTGCGTTATACTTTGGATCGCTTTTTTGAATTGCTAATTCTTTGACATTAAGTTGTTCCTTAGACCCATTGTCTTAAAGGCGTCATGCCCCGAGCCACAATGCAACAATAGTAGTTGCGAGGGTGGTCTGTATTTTTGAGTCCTACATTTTGAGAATCTAATTGCTTTACACGTTGGGAATAGTTAAGGTATTTGGCGCTAATGCAAGAACCGAATCACGAAGTAAATCAGATCAAACATCCTACCTCGCTAATGTGAGGGATTTCACTGTGATACTATAGTAACGGTGGACAAGTGTGACCTGACTATCCAGAACCAAACTGCAATCCGTATCTCGAAGACAGGCTACCAATAAAGAGGTTCTGATATTATCTCCTGAAATAGGGTAAAACGCATTGTTTGAACTCGTGTAGAAGGATTCCTAATTACCAGTATCAACCGACAATAAGTGAATGGGGACGTTGCTAACCCCTTTAGGAAAAAATTAAATGTATGTACATGCAAAGAAAACTTGACGTCAGTTAGTATTTGCATGATGCACCGACCTTTGGACGTTCGTCTGCAGTCGCCTAATTCTAATGCTTTGAAAATGATGAAAATAGACTTTCAAACATGATCCTTCCGCATTAGAAGGAAAATTTATATTTGCTGATTGGTTAAATAGTCGTTGCAGAAAGAGATTGAGTCCATCAAAGGTGGGAGTTCGCTTCATTTCGATTAACGGGTCTTTGAGGCAGAGTTAAAGGTTATTATTACAAAAGGTGCTAGAACTAAAGAAATGTAGCATTATACGCTGCTGTAATAAAATACTTTAGCGAGGTTATTACCTCTAGCCAGGAAATCATATCGTCTGAGTTTGACAACTGTATGTCAGTGGGAAACAAATCACATTTCCTCCTATCCAAAAGCAAACAAAATCCTCTTCCTTCGTCAACATTTGTATTTTTGCAAGTATTGAGCCGAATTTTCTCGGGACTGTCATAGTTCGATGAATGTTTCCAAACAGCCCCAACAAGAGGTCAACGTTCACACTATACGATGGATCTAAACAGCGGTCTTTTTGTCCACAATTCTCATCTCACCATTATGTAAGAAAATAACAAAAGGCAAAAAATTGATAAAAGGTGAATACACCGCACCTTTTAACGGAGTGTAAGAGGCATTTTTTGCACAATTTAGAAACTTGTTTCAAAATTTCAGCCCAAATACTCCGGGTATCATGCAGTTCACAGCATTATAATGCCTTTACATGCGCGTAATCGATGAGCCATAATGTATTTCCAACACAAAAGTGTTTTAAGGAGCGAATTTTTTTTGCAAGGGTTGTATCATTATTTGTGTTAACATTACAGAATGTGAAGTAGACATCTTTGACTTGAGGACTCCAAACCCCCTGTTTCGCAAGGTGTACATCTTGTCACCCAAAAGTTGTGAAAATGAAGGGATCGACACCGTCACTGGGATGTCTTGTCCATGTTTCGGCCAGACACTATTGGTCAAATTGGTGGACATCTCCGATTGGCTAAGCCGTGTGTACCCAAGTTGATTCTATCAACTTAAAGCGTTCCTTGGATTACATTTCCTTACTCACCTCCCTTTCAGTTTATAAGCACCAATTCGGATGTTTCCTTACTACAGGGAACAAGATGCCTCAAGGTGGTAGTCCAAAATGCACACATTTAAGAAAGAAAAGGTTGGAAACATCGTCGCATTAGTACTGATTCGAAATTCAAGTACGTTGACTTAATACTTACCTCATCTTTTATCGAATCTACTTGATATGTTAGATGGGTATGCACAAAATGTGGTAAATGGCTTGATAGATTTTAAATTGCCAACCCTTTCCAAGTCAAGCTGAAGGTCCAAGACCAGATCTGCGTAAACTTTATTGTTCACTTTAAATCCAGAATTAATCTGCATTGCTTTATCAATTCCATAAGATTTTGCATTTGTAGTATGGCAAAGTATTTATCAAATGATATCTTCAAATAAGTTTCGGATTGCATGCCCAGTATCACCGCTAATACGGCAGTTCCGAGCCATCAATCACATTGACATCCACAAAGAAGTAATTAATGTCAACATCGGTAATTCATAATCTCTTGTAACATTCCCGCGCTGCTCCGATGCTGCAATCCCTTGAAGTGTAGATGAGGCTATATGCTGTATTATTTTTAATTCATATTTCTTGGAATAACAGTCCTTCCAAATGCAAGTTGTCCCTTTCAAAATGTTAAAAGTGTTTGGTGTTTGAATGGCAACGAGGGAATAAAAAGTAAGGAATTGAGCCTTTTGAATTAAAAACTTTCTTCAGCATGTTCAAAGCCGGGTTAGCTCAGGCCCAGATATGCAAGAGCTTTTAGGGTTACCCTGCGGCGGCTTTTAACAACTATCCTGGCGCAAAGAATTCACAGCTCAAATGCTTTTTCTACTTTTGAATGCGGTCGCAAAATAACATCGCGTTAAAATGGGCAGTACCATTATTTCCTCCGATACAATGCTTGTTGGGGAATTTAAATCAAAATGGAATAAGGTAGGAGGGATTTGCTTTAGGCGTAGAAGACTTAAGCTTCATTTGGCGCAATGCAGTCGTAGTTTGTGTCCCTAGGGTGCGAGCTCTACCGAATGAATCACAATAAGCGTTTGAAAGGAAACGCTCTAAACTCGTCTCGGCCTAATCAAGCACTGCAGCCTAGTTGTCCAAATGTTTGAGGGGGCGCCTGTGGTTCTAGGGACTAGGCACTCAGCCCAACAGTACACTTTACTTGATGGTTGCCGTTATTATAAAATAAACCCATTTTATGTCAGCTTCACTCTCTAATGTCCTTATTCTTCGAAAGGATGGAAAAATTTTCGTCCATCTGCGTACTAGGAATTAGTAAGACAACACAAAAAAATAGGCGATAAGGCTACTTGGACTAGACAAATGTTTAATTTTCTGGAAAAGAAGTATAATTTCCCATTGTTTGGGACGTGTATCCGTAAGCTGCTGCATAAATTCGCATATCTCAACAGTACTACCAATTCAGTAATGACATCTGCCCAAACAGGTTGCAGTTCGGCTCATTTACAATCGTCTTTAACGTTATCTCTTTCCCTTTCCACACATGATTAAATTCTGCCTCATCCATTATGTTGCTTCTGTGGCATAAACAGATTGCAATCCATCTTGGTGGTCTCAACATTTCTGTGACTCATACGCAATTTTCTACTGCAACCCTTTGTCATAAATAACAGCCTTTTACTTTCAGAAGAAAATTAATAGCTAAGACACGAAATCTTTTCGTTATCAGTAAAACGATCTCCCACCTCTCATAGAACATATGAAATATGGAACACAAGCAATAGGTAGTAACGTCTGCTGATTGCGTAGCTCTTTGTTGAGATTAACTTAAAACCCTCATTTGTTCGCTTTTTTGCACGATCAGCGTTGATGAGACACCACCCTCCTACGTTTTGGGTGCTGACAGGAAGGAAAGACATCGACCTCCTTTGAACCCCAGTGTCCATAAAATATGCTTCTCAATCGTAACACTTACCAGTATTTTCAAAGTGAACTTCTGTACATAGCCATATAAAACGTCTCGAGAAGGCAGAAGCAGGCGACATGAATTGTTAATTTTTCTTGGCAAAGTGTAGCATTCCTATCACTTTAAGATTCAGCGTAAATTATGAATAAGAGGAGAAATTAAATGCCTAATTAGAACAAGGTAAAAGTAAAGTGGAATTAAAATCTAGAACTCTGATCGCAGCAGTTCAAGCAAAGCTCTTACTTAAAATGGTCTGAAGTGGTCTGAACACTTTACAAGTACACCAATTCTCACATGCCGTCCTTGCCTTGAACTGGTCTATTGCACATAACTAACATTTTGAAGGTTTAAAGAGCAACTATTGAAATTAAGGAATCCATCCCAGTATTAACAGAATTACTAGTGTCTTCATTTTACTGATCTTACACCAAGTTGTGCTTCCCCAGCATCCTGAGGTATCTCCCTTCCAAACAGCCCAAAATATGGGGCTTTCACAAGGCGGTTGTTTGTTCTGATGTGAAGAATTGTTTTTTAATGTGATTGGGATTGATAGGCATCTGGTACTTTTTAGCCGGCGCTATAAGTTGACTTGTTGTGATCTCCTTCCCAAGAAGAGACTGCCTGTAAAGCTGCCTAGCTTCACTAAACGATTTCCCAAAGCTATAAGTAGTATTGACAAGTCAGTACGTGCACTGCTTTATAGATTGATATACCAATTCACCTTTACTTATGTTGTACCAGTAGGAAACTCCCCTTGGCCTAAATTAGTTTATTTTTTGCCACTAATCCATTATAATCCACAATTAATACGAGCACTGCGGTCTTATTCACTTACGGAATAGCGATGCAAAATAACAACACGATTCAAGGTGTATCAAACACAGCTAAAATCAGTTGGCAACGAAGACAGTGTACTTGAGTATTCTTGAAAAGTAAAGCAATAGATCAGTGTCTAGAGTCACTAAATGTCCCACATTTGCATGTCCTCCTTGGAGTAGGCAAAATCACTGAATTGTAGAACTGGGAGAACGAGGTTGTAGATCTGTATGTACGTATGCTTGTATGTTCGTATGTGGCTTTGCAGCATTGTTCCTGTGTGCTTGCACATTCCTCCTCAAAGTCCCTCCGTCAGGCTGTTTTAATCTCGGCGCGGAGATGGACGATTGCGCGCAGGTACATCGCATCCCTCGCCTCTCCGACAAACGTCATGGCTTCGATTTCGGCTACGGTTCCCTCAACGACACGGAATCCATGTGTCGGTAGGTGCTACCACACTCCATCTCCACCTACATCTTTACACCTACTTTTGCTCTGTTACTCAGATGCTTTCAACCCTCGTTCGGGTCTGCTGCAATACCATTTTCATCAATAAATTATTCTATTCCTTTCGCTGAAATAGTAAATGATTTACAAAGACCGCTAATTGCCGTTTGTGCCATTGCAACAACGATGGGAGATTTTTCTTACGCGTTATGTGTATTTTCCTGCAAGTTCCTTCCTTTTCCATTTGGAGCAAAGGCGCACGAAAAAATCATGGTCACATACCTTCCTCGCATTAATAGCCGTTGCAAACACACGATTCTATACTGTTTCGACAATGCTTGTCTAGCATTTCACTATTCAAAATTCACTGATGCTAAAACGCGCTTAAGGGCTTAAATTTTAGCAATTTCACGCAATCATTAAGGTGGCTGAAGGCCAAACGGAAACTATGCAAAGTATAAATATGGCTACTGGTTATGTTGGAATAAGGTGTTTCCTCATACTGTGCGAAATATCCGTACTTAAAGTAATGCCTGTCAGGAAATCCGCAAACTAGCAGCACGCTAACAGAAGGATACGAGAGTGGGGTTAACAAAGCTGATTTTGGACACTTGGAGTGCAAGTGTTCCGTCGTTCAAACGTCAGCGTCAGTTCGATAAGTCCATTTGGTTGGCCGCAAACTCTGCAAAACCTGTCCAATAGTTTCATGGTAGTCAAGCAATTTATTTTCTGTAAAAAAACAAAATACAGACATTCGCTGCGTCGAGTTGCATAAAAACCAGAGTCTGGACTTCCTCTAGGCTCTACAACTTTTGCTCAATGTAAACCCTCAATCTGGTACGATGAATACTACATGTTTCTTTTCAACTCTCGTCAGAATGAAATAGAATTACGTAAAACAATAATGAGTTGGATTTGAAATAGCATTTTTTGCGTTCTGTGCACTTATTAAGGTAGTGGGTTCTTAAGACGGAGGCAACTTTTTAGTTCTAATGGAAATTTCTACATGTTGCTGAGCCCAACCAAAGCAGTACGCAAACCCAAAAATTGTTTGGAAAGTTGGATTACCTGCAATGAAATTCATGAAATAGTGTAGACTCCCCATCACCAATCACTTGGTACTTAATAGCACTCGAGATTTCGGTGGTTTAACAGACGCTCGTGCCGTCATTCTATCACCGAATAGACCGACTTAGCTAAAGTTAGGTATGACGATTCTAGCCTAATTCTATGAAGGACTGTTCGATACAATTAGATTTAATGAATCGGCATCGTTGTTATATAAAGAAAAAGTGGGGTGGTAATCGCACTTTGGTTTAATTCGGTAGCATGGGCGAGCACACCGCGAACTTCTAGATGTCGGATTAATTGGGCATCCACTGTCTGCATAGCATTGCGCGGCCGATTCAAACAACAGTTTGACTCACGAGCTGAAGTTTCAACATTGTTGTTTGATACTTAGTCAAACCTCTTGGAGGTGAGAAAGTTTCACATAAACTACCTGGACAAATTGAAATAATTAAGGCGCGAATAATGCCCACTTCAGTCAACTAAAAGGCGGCTGAATAGATACTTAGATTACCATTAGTGAATGAGTGTTTAAATGAGAAGCCTCGATTAACTAGACTTGCTGATTTGGCATTTCAGAACAAAGTACCACATAAAAATTATCAAATGTGTAAAGGATCGCTGGGAAGCAGCATGTGACACTACCGCAGAGCCGGAATTTCTGAAGATTGTGTGGGCCCACACCCTCAACACCAAGCGATATGAACGTGCCGCGGCCTACATCTGTCGGCAGCATAACCTCAGAAGTAAGTTATATCCAGCACCATCAATGAGCTGATTTTCCACCCCATATTAGGTATGATAGCAGAAAAATATCCAAAAATTTGTAGGCGGCAGAGCTAATCCTCGCTGTGACCGAATTATTCCGAAGCAGAATACTTAAATGTGCGGAAACAATAGGAGCGCAAATTAAACAAGCAGTGATTCACCCGCAAGGTTTACCTCTTATTACATTGACCTTCCCTAACATACATCGAACAATGACAAGGAGGTGCACTTTTTGAACTCTTTCAAAGAGCTGGGGTGCTGTATTTCCATTTCCCATAAATTCTTAGACTGATTGCCATCTGAATTACAATTTCAGCAATTTAAGGGAACAAATATGCCTTTCTAAATAATGTCCGTTTAAACAATTCCCGGTCATCTTTCCAAAGCAATCAGGCATTCTTACCGCTGAGAATTAGCAGAGTCAGCAGTAGAAAATGATAAATTCAACTAAAAACTATGTGTTATTGTCCTGTAGATGCAGGTCTCTTGAATTTATTGCGGTTTGTTGTAGGTTCCTCTTTTAAAAAACCCCACATACAGAAATTTATTGTTTTTTTAACAAACATATGATATGATTACCCGTTAAAATATTTTCCCCCTATTTAAGCCATTTTGGCAGATATGATTCTTATAGAGGCGAGCCATCACCTACTGGGAGGTCAAATCATGATTTACACAATTTGGCATTGTAATAGTGTCTGCTAAACTATCTGACACTTTGTGCAAATGTCAAAAACTTCAAAATAAGGGTGTTTCATCTCCCGCAAATTCGCCTGCCAAAACTCCCGGCGCATTTCACGCAGCAGGCCGCGTTCGTGTCGAGCGACATGAGATGGGTGTTAATATGCGCCGAGTGTGGAGACGAGGGGAGCACTTCCTTTGAAGATAGGATTTATCGCTGTGCATAAATAAGGATTCGCAGTGCAGGCGAATATGTCCACCCATCGACCCATCCATCCGAGCGTCATGCCCCGCCTTAGTCCCCGCCACCTCAACAGAATTTAGCACTCCACTTCTTCGAGTTGCTACCTCACTCAGCTTTCAATGGCTAAGTTGCTTTATCACTGCCTTCCTATAAAGCTCAAATTGTAGCAGCACTGGATCATTCTAAGCAAAAGTGGTTAGTGATGATAATTATATGAATGTTAATTTAGATAAGCCCTCTGTGGATTAAGATATTTAGTGCAAGTGGCTCAATACTTGGGTATTTCATAGCACTTTAGTGACGGGTAGGTGATCCATGTTGACGGCTGAAATTCATTTGTAGGATCATTTAAGAACGGACGTGGCCAATGGATAGAAATTTTAGGGCTAATCACTCAAAAAAAAATAGAGCTGTGCAATTCATTGTTAGTAATTCGGCAGACACCACAACACTGAGTAAACTAACGCGAAATACCTTCTACTCATTTGCCATCATGAAGCAACAATTACCTACTTACTTTTCGGGCCTTCATTCAGATGAAACCAATGGATCAACAGAAGTGTGCTATGCTTCCGTCTAGATGTAGCAGGTGTCGTTTAGCTCTTTACATCCTCTCTCTGTGGACGTCATAGTTAGGCTGTTATACATGCTAAGGCTAAATTCGGTTCGCTATTTATGCAGGTGTAGTGTGCAGGTTAGTCCTGAGTAGACAAATAACGTAGAACAGTCTAGAAGTAGGGATCTTTTTAAATGATACGGGTCCTAGGATCACCTCTAGAGCGATAGCCGAATTAAAGAGGACTAAAGAACCGAAGTAGTACAATCTACAATTAATCTAGGTAACATTTTATTGTGCAAGCTTGTGCTAAGGAATTGTTGTATGTGTCGAGTGCAGTTTTCCAGCAACACAAGAACGCCTGCCTGCGCGAGGCGGAGCCCGCAGCGGAGGGCTGTTCGCGGCAGACGGACGAGTCCATCCAGGAGGTGGTAGGCGCCCTGAAGAACCAATCGGTTTACACCGCTCATGGACTCATCGGTGATACCTACCAACAGCACCTGAAGAAAACAATGCTTGTCTACGAGTGCCAGTGAGTTGCTTGAGTAGATGGCTTTTAAACTCATGCTGTCCCATTTAATTAATAAAGTTCTTTCGTAGATGTTTCACTAACCAACAGTTGTAAGCCAATCCAATTAGAGCATATTCAAAATAGTAGTTTCATTTCTCAACTTTACATTTCCACTGGCAATTCTTGCAAGCACTTGAACACTTCACTTCTCATGTCAATCAAGTAAAAGATGCGCTCCCAAATTGGGGAGGATTTAAGTCATTTATCACCATCACTGGCCAAACATGCCAACAAAATAAATGGTGCAGCGATTTTAAGGGATAGGCTGGACAATTTGGCAACTAGGATGCTGTTTTTACTCCCAATCAGTCTTTCTAGGTGGTGGAAATTTTATCAAATTATCAATAAAAACAATGGTTGCGTGAATGCTATCACCACTTCTCATCACCACAAGTTGCTTTGTCAATCGAATAATTATTGTCGTCAAAAACGTGGTTACGCGCAGATTATTTCATACATTAAAATGCAATTATAAACATTTACAAGCTGAATTTTAAAGTATTTTATTTCATGAATGCCTGGCACGTGTCAAAATGTGTTGTTTTGACAAATTGGAGTTCTTTCTTAGCCGTTTCTTGTAAAAGCTGAATTAAAGTTTACATTTCTTATTTTAACAATAGTAACTTTTGTATTCGGAGATGTATAATAACCCACTTTACTTGTAACCGCGTTGGATTTTGTTTAAGTACTTTCGACTGATCTGGCAGCTGCTGCAACCCAACCATTTACCGAACTACTCTTATCACTGCTTGCCATCGGTTAAATACATCCGCAATGCTCAACAAGACAGAAGATAGTTGCGCTGCTCAATTGTCAAACAGCCTCTAATCTGATGCAGTTATGAGCAAGCAAACGAACAGTTGTTTTGCTTCAGTTAGACAGTGACGACTGGTGTCACTCTCACTTGCTGTTTAAGTTTATGGAGTTGCTGTGACTTCGATTCAAATGCTTGCCTTGGCGTAAAGGTTTCACATCCGGGGCGTTGGGACTCTAAAACTTCCTTGACCAAAACATAATCCAATGCTTTCAAATGCCACAAAACGGCCTCACTTGAGAAATGAGAAGGCATTAGTTTCCTAGGGCATTTTTGAACTTCATTGAATATTGCGCTTTTCAATCAACCTAAATGAACACGGTAACAAATTGAGTGGGAGAGATTCTGCGTAGTAAAAACACTGAATGTAATCACAATTAAATATCAGAGAAAACCTCTTAAACTTTACTGTACTAGTTGAATAATCACCAATGCCTCATATCATCCACTTTCAATGGAAAACGAGATAGTTGCAAATCACGTCTTCGTAAAACTCCTTGGCCCTAAAAGTAAAAATTTCGCCCTTGTCACTCCACTTCTATCCCA